GTTCCTCTGATGCTGCTCGGCCTGCTGTGTTCATCCAGCTCTACACCCTATTACAAGTTCTTATCCAGTTGGAGCCTGGGTCATTAGACATGCTTCAAGGAAATACTGGAGATAGATGGGCTGGAAATTCTTTGCGCTGTTGCTGACTCTTTGCTTTACCTAGTGGTTTAATTCAATCTTTGTTAAGAACCTTGAACTGAGGAATCTTGTACTGTATTTTGCTGAGTCCTTCCTCCTGAAAATATCAGTCTCAAAACCCAAACATGGCATCACTTCCTTTTTTTTTGAAATCTTGATGTTGGGAATTTTCTTATTTTCTTTTGGGCACGATAGGTCTCCATTTTGCACTTCAGTTGCTCAGTGAAAAATAGGAACTGCCTTCATCATATTGTGAGCATGTGTAAGAAAAATATAATGTCATTGGTATATGTTCAAAATCTGTTTCTGCCCTCTTTATTACTCTGATCAGTCGTGACTTGCCCAAAGGATTAGCACAGGATGAAAGATTCATGACTGCTGCCAGAACATTAGATATGGACTTGAATAATGTTTTACTTGTGACTACAGATCCGTGAATATTAAAGGAATGAAACTCTTTATGGTTGGCAAAAGTGGCAGACTGGTAAAGGGAAACAACACCAATAACCTTCTCATCCTGCTTCTCTCTATGCATAGGAAAGACGTTATGAGTGTTTCTTAATGACTAGATAGCCTCTTGATATCCTGAATCAATTGGACTATGAGCTTTGAAATGTTACTGATGGCACTGGTTGTCACTTGAACAGAGTCTCTGGCAATAATATTTGCGGATCACAATGTGTTTGACATCAGGATGGTCCATGTTGGGATGTAGTCATTTCTAATTATAATACCACCATTCTCAGTAGCAACCAGGGAAATGGAGTTTATGCGTGTGGTTAAAGGCTTTCAAATGCTGTCGATCTGTGGTACAAGCTTTGCAGGCAGGGCGCTTGCTGCTCCAAAGTCTAGTTTCTTAGTGTTCCTGAACTTAAATAAACCCTCTTTTTTTAAGGTGCCACTGTGGACTCAAAATAAGACTCTGTCTAATTTCCTGCCTCCAAGTCAGAGGTGCTGGTTGAGGAGTACTTCTCATGCCTACCAGGGAGGGGAGTAGATTTTGACATTGTGTGTTGTTGTAATAAGGGCTCCAAACCTTGTGCTGTAACATCTCCAACTTTGCTGTCATCAGATAGGAGGCTATGCCAACTTTGGAGCTTTTCTTTGGGTTTAGAGAAGATTTCATAGAGATTTTAAAAGTCATGAGGATTTAGAGTAGATGGGGATGATGGGAAAGCAGCTCCCATTGGTTGGAAGGTGATAGTCAGAAGACACAAATTTCAGATGATTGATAAAAGAACCAGAGAGACGTTGAGGGAAAGTATTTTTATGCAGCAAGTGTTTGGGATGAGGAGTGTGCAAAACAAGCTCAATCGTGGGTTTCAAAAGAAAGAAATTCTGCACAGTATTCCCAAAAGCACAATTCAGGAAGGGCGAACTGAATCAGTTTTGTTCTCTGATATGATTTTCCAATTCATGGCACTATCATTGGCAAGCTATCTTTAAAGCTGAAGATTTTCTGTTGTATTGGGGCAATAGGAAGATAACAGTGGTGAGAGGAAAAGAGGGGTTTGAAGAGGAGGTGGCATGACTGGAATATAAGGATGAAAATCTTGGAGTGTTATCTGATTACTTGCAAAGATTGAGTTTTTATGAAGAACATTCCTTCAGAAGATGAAAGAAATGAGTTGAAAATTTTACGACCAGCTTAGTTATAAGACCTGCACAAGAAAGGGAAGCAATTAAATGGCACTTTTTTTTCTTCAACAACTCCAAATAACATTGTTGCAGTGATACACATTTGATATCAATTCCTTGAACAATAGAATAATCTAATTGATCTTGGGTCTCTCAAATTTATTTATTCACATACTGATCAGATGAAATAAACTGCCTTATGTATTAAGATGCAATAAATGAATTCAACGCATTTATTTCATAAGTTTTACTTCTTTCTTTCCTGGCATTTTACAAAAACCCTATAAGGCCGAAGGTTATGTCATTGGAAGCTGCATTAAACATATCCCAGTTGCAGGTCGGGATATTACGTTTTTCATTCAACAGCTCTTGAGGGAAAGGGAAATCGGGATACCACCTGAACAATCCTTGGAGACTGCGAAGATCATCAAGGTAGGATTCCAGAATAAACACTCTTTATACCCCTCTGACATCCTGGGCCATTCTTCCATCATCTCCAATACCTGCTCCTTGTCCCTTCACTATTACTGATGGAAGTGCCAATGGTGCAACACCCACCCATTCATTTCCACCCATTCGGCCCCAAACACATTTTCCTGGTGAAGCGTTGATTTATTTTTATTAATCACTATGATATAATATTTTGTTATATTCTTAACCTGTTGTTACTGCTGGAGAAGTCAGATGTCAGAATTTAATCTGGCTGGACATCTATGTTTTTTTTCTAATATAACACGGTAGCCTTTCATTGAAACGTAAGCACTCCAGGCTGCAGATTGGTTTTAAAAATTAAACAGAAGTTTATTATACAAAACAATGAAACAGAAAATACAGTTTGAAAGACATCAAAACACCCAGAAATAAAACCCCATTTAACCTCTCCAATACCATGGTTTCACAGTTACTTTTACTCAAAACCAAGGTAATTTTCCTTCCCTACTCAATCTGTAGTTTTGACTTAACTGCTTTTTCCTTCATTCCTGCCCTGTGAGCTGTGAAGCCTTTTCCTTGAATCCTCAAACAACTGAGATCTTAGACATTGCTATTATTAAGAAATTAAACATGTAGAGTTCCAATCAATAATGAGTTGGACATAACACTTGAGGCTAAAGGGATCAGAGGAATGAGGAAAAAGCAGGAGCAGGCTAATGAGTTGGAAGATAAGCAGTGGTCATAAATGAATTACAGTGGATCAAGCTTGAAAGGCTGAATGGCTTACTCCTACTCCTATTTTATCTGTTTCTATGTCTGATAGTTTTACAAATTAATTTTTTTCCCTGAGATAACTTAATCTCTTATTGCTCTTTTTCTAGGAGAGACTGTACTGGTTTCTGACTCTGGTCAGATCTTCTTTGAACTGACCTGACATTTTCCAGTATCTGGAAAAAAAAATCAAACTTAATTATTCTTAATCTGAAAGCAAGCTAATGTCTTTCAATCTCGCTCTTGTTATATAAAGAAACTTCCATTAACACTCTTGGAGGCCTTTACTCAATCTGCAGTTTGCATGCAAAATTATGGTTCTAGAAAGATGGACAAGGTAATTACAATTCATAAATATAGACCAGCAGTTGTATGACACTAGTTTGAAATCTAAGCTCCAAAAAAAGTATAAATTACATACCTTTCATAATGCCTCCCCCCACAAAGAAAAATAAAAATGTATCTTCAACAGGCATTTTCATTTATCATCAAAAATCCTTTTAATACTATTTCTATGTCACAATAACAATTGGCATTAAACATACAATAGGTTTCATGGCAACCATATTTTATATAAGTCTATTTGCATTAGCACTCTATTTCCTCTTAAAACATCTGCTTTGTCATTTCCAGGCATGAATGATGGTGTTGTTTTTAAAGCATCATCCTTACAGACTTAATCCAGATAAATTAGTTTAAGTGTGGGAAGAGATTAAGTTCAAGTTCCATTGAAACAATTGTAAATTCTTGTCCTGGAATTTCTCCAAAAAAAAATCAAAGGATTGTGGTCCATATATTTAGGTTTCTTCCATATGATGTATATTTCAAAATTATGTAGAACCAATGCAGTAAATGAAATTTGCTAATATCGTTTTAGCAAGTCAATTTTGGTGACAAATCATGCAAATACATAGAAACATAGAAGATAGGAGCAGGAGGAGGCCATTTGGCCCTTTGAGTCTGCTCTGCCATTCTTCACGATCATGGCTGATCATCCAACTCAGTAGCCTAATCCTGCTTTCTCCCCATAACCTTTGATCCCATTTGCCCCAAGTGCTATATTTAGCCAACTCCTGAATACAATCAGTGTTTTGGCATCAACTACTTCCTGTGGTAATGAATTCCACAGGTTCACCACTCTCTGTATGAAGAAGTGTCTCCTCATCACCATCCTAAATGGTCTACCCTGAATCCTCATACTGTGACCCCTGGTTCTGGACACACCCACCATCAGGAACATCCTCCCTGCATCTACCCTGTCTAGTCCTGTTAGAATTTTATATATCTTATGAGATCCCCTCTCATTCATCTGAACCTCAGCGAAAACAATCCTCACCTAGTCAATCTCTCATCATACATCAGGCCTGCCATCCCTGGAATCAGCCTGGTAAACTTTCGCTACGCTCCCTTGGGAGCAAGAGCATCCTTCCTCAGAAAAGGAGACCAAAACTGCACACAATGTTCTAGGTGTGGCCTCACCAAGGCCCTGTAGAACTGCACCAACACATCCCTGCTCCTGTATTTGAAACCTCTTGCAATGAAGGTCAACATATCATTTGCCTTGTTTACCACCTTGCACCTGTAAGCTTACCTTCAGCGACTGGTAAACAAGGACACCCAGGTCCCACTGCATACTCCTTTCTCCCAATTTACATCCAATTCTTTCAATACATTCCTCCAATGTTGGAATAGGAAATGAGTCCAGTTTTGTTACTGGGTTGATTTTGCAATAATAAACACAGAATCTTTGTGACCTATCTTGCTTCATCACCATCGTAACGGATGAGCTTCCTCTGCTGTGATTTGGTTCAATAATGCCTTTGTCTGTCATGAAATTAATCTCTTCCCACATGCAAACTAAGTTTCTTTGGATTGAGTCCATAAGAATGCTATTTTATAAGTAAAGCAGCTCCTATGTTGGCATCATGAACAGCTGAGTATGTTTTTCTTGACCCATTCGCACAAATCAATTTATGAGTCTGTAATAGCCTTTGCAAATCATTTCAACAATTTTCTGGAGTATAAAATATTATCCAGTTTGATTGTTAGAAGATCAACTTCTAAAATTTGAATTTCTCATTCATTTTCCAATTGTTCTGATATATTTGTTTCACTCCCTATTATTTTCACTACCATAAATACAGTTTTCCTCTGATTATCATCCTTGTCAAAATATCTCTTTGGCATGGTAACATGATACAGTTGCTGATTTTTTTTTCCTATAGTGCTCGCTACATAATCTATACAACAGAGTTTCTTTTTGATTTGATAAAGTCCAGTTGTTATGGAGTGGAAGTTGAACCCCTCTGATAATTAAAACGGAAACACCAACAGAAGCTTGCCTTGCCTCGTAATCTGCTAAAGGAAATAGGAAAAATGGTATAACCTGCCTTTCATCTCCCAATCTGTTACAAAGGAGAGGTTAAATTAACAAAATCCCTGATACTCAATTTATAAGCAGCAAGTAACAATATATTTATCTAACTCTAGCAGTGAACAAATTAACAGACCTGTGAACAAACCAAACAATTCTCCCTTAACGACTATTCCTGAACAGAACAAAATTCTAATGGCATGCTGTTCCAATAAATACAAGTCCCACTTATATAAACCAAAGTAATAAGAAAAATAAATTAAAACTTAGGCTCTCAATCCCACAGTGAGGATACATCTACCGGAATGTTCCATGCCTTTTCCACTATTCTTCAGTCAGGAATTCTTTCTTTGTGTCAGGAATATTAGCTGAGAGTACCATGGTGCCTTTTAGATGGTGGTCTAGATTTCTGTGAGAGTCAGAGTTTTACTGTTCCGATAGCAGATTGTTCTCAGACTGATTTTCAAAAACCGTCTTATTGTATAACCTTGATGACCTGTCAATTTTCTTATAACAGGATAGGACCTAGGTTGTCAACACCATCAGATTTAAATTTAATTGGGTTTGGTATCTAGGGCCTGGTTTAAAATAATTGGCTGATATTCAAGCTAGTTGCCTTAACATCAAAACAAGCCCAGGTTGCCAACCACATAGACAATTGATATATATGTTTCAATTTCAGAACGGTCTGTGCATCTTGCAACTGCTTGCAGAATTTTTTAAAATCTCCAAGCTTAGAAAGGCACATCAACTCCTAAAGGGACCACACATTCTTCCCCCTCAATCATTTTTATGACCTATTCAACAGGGACAGGTTGCAACTGAACTGGAGGGGGACCAATATCCTGGTGGGCAGATTCGCTAGTGCTGCAAGGGAGGGTTTAATCTAGATTGGCAGGGGGGTGGGATCCTCAACAGCAGGGAGACAAGTGCTATTATCAGAAATAGCCAGTTGAAGAGACATGTCATGCTGGAACAGAACAGGGAGCGAGGAATGCCTACTGGGCTGACAGGTAAGGCTGTTGAACTCAGGGCATGGATAAGTGTGTGGGATTGGGATATTATAGCCATTACAGAAACATGGCTAAGGGAGGGACAGGACTTTCAGCTTAGTGTGCCAGGGTACAGTTGTGTTAGGCAGGACAGAGGTAGAGGAAAGAGGGGAGGGGGTGTATCACAGCAGTAGTCAGAGGTGAAATAACAAGGGATCATCCATTGAGACTTTGTGGGTTGAGCAAAGAAATAGGGAAGATTGGTGACGTTGTTGGGGTTGTACTATAGGCCCCAAATAGTCAATGGGAATTAGAGGAACAAATATATAGGGAAACTGGGGAGACTTGCAGGAGCAATAGGGTTGTCATTGTGAGGGATTTTAATTTTCCTAACATAGACTGGGACTGCTATACCATTAAGGGTTTAGATGGGATGGAATTTGTTAAATGTGTTCAGGAAAGTTTCTTCAAGCAGTATTTAGAGTGTCCTCCTTGGGAAGGGGCAAAACGTGACCTACTCTTGGGAAATAGGGCAGGACAGGTGACTGAGGTGACGTTAGGGGAGCACTTTGGGGCCAGTGACCATAGTTAATTTTAAAATAGTTTTGGAGAAGGGCAAAACTGGTCCACAGGTTCAAGTTAATAATTGGGACAAGGTGAATTTTGATGGAATTAGACATGAGCTTTCAGTGGATGATTGGAGTAGTTTGTTTGCAGGCAAAGGGACCTCTGGCAAGTGGGAGGCCTTTGAAAGTGTGATAGCTCGAGTTCAAGGTCTATATGTTCCTGTGAGGGTGAAGGGCAAGTTTGGCAGGAATAGAGAACACTGGATGACGAGATATTGAGGCTTTGACAAGAAAAAA